TATGCGCTTATGTCATATGGCATATGCCCCTACCGGTCTGCCATCACAGTTTAGCTGTGCAATGTGCATGGCTGTACCTCTATTAAGGATACCGTGCAATGAAAAGGACCGGCCTTCTTGCCTTCTTGGCCCTCTGTTCCGCCCGTTCTGACCTAGGCCAGGCAGCTCGGATTGTTTGACAAAATGACCGCACGATATGCATCATACATTCACGTATTGCGGTACCGATTTCGGCCACCATTTGGTCTTGTCGGTAGTCAGGAAATAGATGCGCAGTGTCGACTCCCTCCCCCTATCGTAATCCACTATCTGTTTGGGTCATTGCGAAGCGTAGCTGGCGGCTGTGGCGTGACTCGCCCCCCTTGTATTGACGTCACAGCTGTATAAACTGACTGATGTAACCTTCAACAATGTGCACCAATTGTCAACACACTGATGAAACGTTCTCGTTACGGAGAGACGCGGTATGTGGCATGCTCGGACCGCAGTGCAGATTCCTCTCATTGGAATAAGGAGAAAAATGAGGGCACAGCTGGCGTTTCCGCAGTGGCTGGGCGGCGGGCCGTGTGTGGATCCGACTGTACCCACGAGGACAGGGGTACTGGCCGCGGTCTACTGATGGATAGTAGCCGCGTCACTGACCATCAGCGGCCTGTGAGAGACTAGGACTGCACCCACGAGCCACGAGGACAGTCTGAGGTCCACTGATGGACAGTAGCAGCCCGTCAGACCCAGCAGTGGCCTGTGTGTGATTCAGGCTGTACCCACGAGGACAGCAGTACCGAGCCATGGTCTGCTGCTGGCCAATACCGTCCCGGTGAGCCGCGTCACGGTCCATCGGCGGCCGTCTCACCGCGGCGCGGTACGGGAGGGGGTCAGTGGCGTCCGGAACCTCAGCTGCGACTCTGTCGTGGCCGTGGTAGTGAAGCTGTGGCTAGCTGTGACCGTAATTTAGTCGGGCTGTACCCCCCCCCTCCCCCTCCCCCTGTCCGCGACTCTGGGAGCTCGCCCAGCGACAGGGCTTCGCTGGAGTCGGGCTGCCGTTCGGCGGCCCTGAACGGTCCAGTTTTCGTTTTGTTTTACATTAAGCCCTTGTTACACTGCCGAATTTTGGTACACGAATGTGCACGAATATGCAAGTCATCCTATGTCGCGGACCGATTCGGGATCTTTCTTCCACGGTCTTGGCATTTCGCAGACCAGTCGGTGCCCACCGCGCGACTTTTACGGTTCGTCACGACCGCCACGAATATTTCATGAAAAATGAAAATTTCGTGGCCGTTCGCCGAACTTATGATAAACGAACATGATCGCCAAACACTCGCCGAGTCACCGCCGACATGTCGCTACGTGCGCCGACTTGTTGCCAAGGCATCGCCGACTATTCGCAACAGATTCGCCATTCATTCGCGATGTTCGCCGAATCATGGATCAGCTTCGACCCGCGCACGATTAGGGGGGGCCCCCACCCGTTGTTTGCAAATCGGGCTCTGTCGGCGAACTGTTCGCCTCCTTCGGTGAACTGTTCGCCGATTTCCTACACGACGTGATTCGGCGACAGGGTCGTGGCCAAAATTCGGCAGTGTAACACGGCCATTAGTGTTACTGCGTAATACTTACATCACTCGGGTCGAGACAGATTTTATCCGATCAAGGTCGCGAGAGGCGGGGCTTAGAGGTTAACTTGGGCTCGGTTCTGATGTTAACCAATGCTCCGTGCCCTGGGAGGTAGTAATGAACGGAGATGTGGAGTGGATTGAATGCTATTTTTAAAGAATTGTAGACAAAACACCGAAACAAAACAAAACAAGTATGCGGCCTTTGGACTGCTTTTAAAATCATCTCCCTGGCTCGTGGCATCACATGACTGATAAAGCTTGTTATGACCCAGCAATCTACACATTCCTTGGGACCTGATGTATATAGCTAGTGGTTATTTGCCGAGCTTTCGGGTCTCCTTGGCAGCAGTGTTGCATCAGCCGTGCTGTGGTCGCCGCTCGTTGTCGACTGTCGAGCTCAGAGGTCGTCCCGGCCATCAGCCGTGCTCTGGTCGCCGCTCGTTGTCGACTGTCGAGCTCAGAGGTCGTCCCGACCCGGATCGTTTCCCGTGTCAACAGACCCGGCCAGCCGGGCTGCCGGGTCGGACCGTACTGCCGCACCCGCCGTATAGCGAGCTCGTGCGTCACTGCGCTTCCGACCATCGATCACAGAGTTTATCTGGCGACCCCGACACATGATCTGTCGGCTGCCGCTGACGTCTGTCCACATACGCGGCCGAGCATCAGTGCCGGGCCGGCGGGCCGCAGGCGCCCGCTCGTTTGGGCACTCTGTTTGTTGTGGAGGCTGCTGGCGGCGCTGCCTTTGTGGACTTCAGATGAGGCGGGGTGGGAGTGTAGTGCTTTGGAGCATTTAGAAAACCAGATGATTTGTTTTTCCATTCATTCGGTACTTTAGGATCCGACGGAAGTAGCTGATCAACGACAGCCGAGTCGAGCCGAGCCGTTCCACACAATCTCTCAGTGTCGCTCCACACAGTCGTCGCTGCTCCACCACTGCGGTCACCGGACTCGAACTCCAATAAAACTTTGGAAATAAAACAAACCAGTGGGCCTCTTCGATTGTCTACCCTCATTATTTCTACCAATCATTCACTTGGGTTCAAGGGCGGCCGAGTAAAATCATTAAGTACGCAGAAGACGCTAACAAATACGTAGAAAGACATTTGAAGGTCACTAGACCAGCCAAAGTGCGGTGGGAGCCGGCGGCCTGTTTTAGTCGGAAGATGCCGCCATATACGCAGAAAGACGCCCGGGACCGGTTTGGCGCCACACCCCCGGTTCTGTCGCCTCTCCGAAGGTCGGTCGAGTCGTTCTCGCCGTTTCCAGCTCCTCGTGCCGATAGTGAGTGATAGCGAGCCGGCGGGCCGTGCTGCCCTCCTCGGTACGGGCCTCATGGGCACGGAGGAATGTCCCGGCCCGCGGCTCGGCCACGTGGGACGTCCGGCCGCCCTCCTATGCCGCGGCGAGCAGCGGAGGCGTAGATAGAGGAAATCGCGTTAGACACTTCGCTGATTCGCTTCAGCGCAATATTGTGTATTTCAAACTAGGCTGGTGATCAGCTAACTTGCCAGCGTTTGAAAGTGGAAATGGTTCTGAAGGCAGTTATGAGCTAAGAGTTCTGCTTAAATTTGATTTCCGCCGAGTTACCGAGATCTGTGACATTGTTCCTGCATTGGATCTAATCTCGTTGGTAAGTGGTTAAGCGTTCTGAGGAATATCATCATGAGAAGTATGTGCATCTGGCTGACCTTATCCTCACTTCTGTATGGAAATATGAAATTGCCAAAATAAATTACTGTATTAAAAATCGAGATATTTCGAGCACAGCTCTTCGTCGGTCGATTGTAATTATTTACACACATAACAGGCACACAATGTCGAATTCATCTCAAGTTCTTCAGTAATGTCGCAGTAAGAAATTTAAATACACAGATCCCGTGCAAATTGATCACCCTAGTTCCTACCTTAAAAATATATCTATAAATATTTAATTAAATATAATATATTTAATAATATCTATAAATATATCTTAAAAATATATTTAACTGGGGAATTATGTGTAGATATATTTTTAAGGTAGGAACTAGGGTGATCAATTTGCACGGGATCTGTGTATTTAAATTTCTTACTGCGACATTACTGAAGAACTTGAGATGAATTCGACATTGTGTGCCTGTTATGTGTGTAAATAATTACAATCGACCGACGAAGAGCTGTGCTCGAAATATCTCGATTTTTAATACAGTAATTTATTTTGGCAATTTCATATTTCCATACAGAAGTGAGGATAAGGTCAGCCAGATGCACATACTTCTCTAATCTCGTTGGCTGCAGCTTCCCGTAAATGCGGAAGTCAGTTATTGCTGAAGTGGAATTAGTAACTGGCGCGGCATGACTTCTGGTACCGTGACCTGCATTTTAGCGCGGTGAGCTCGGCCTTTGGACTGATGTTTATTCCCATGACTGCTGTTTTTCTGGTGATATGACACTTTGCAGTGTCACTCTTTGAATTTTTATTTGTAGAGGCTTTTATGCCTCACAAACTCTGTTCAAATTTAGCATGTCCGTACTCTACCACCCGAGTGCCCGGCGGCGCCTCAGGCTGTGTTGTGTTGTTCTTGGTTTGATTATTTTCAGGCTGTCGTTGCTGGACGCTGTTTGTGCTATGTGAAGATGACATCGTCTGTGTGTCGTCTGTCGTTGTCGGTTATGTTCTGATCCGCCGGCAGGTTTTACATCTGACGTCAGGCCAGTATCCGTTCAGGGAGTGGCCGTGCATCCTCCCCCTGCCCGTCCCCACCGCCAGGTCGTCTGCACCAGGACATGAGCGGGAACGTGTATCAATGCTGTAACACAAACAGGTTTTATCTCTCCTCAGACACACACCGCGAAACAAACAATCCGAGCTGCCGCGACACCGCAGTGCAGGACATTTTCCAGGAAACATCACCAAACCCAGCCTGACGGGACATCAGATTGGCATATCTCCTCCCAGCGGGGTGCCTTTGATGGTTTATCCATTCAGTCCCGGCAGTGTGCTGTTCTGGAAACTGTGCATTGTACATCAGGGCTGATTTCCTCGCAGCCAGCCGGGGCTTTGATGTGCTGTCTCGAGGGAGATGTCTCGTGTCTCGCGTGGTCGTGTGGTGCTGGTACTCTGATTTGGTGGTGAGTGTCGTGATGTGTGGTCGTGACTGATTGGCTGCGCCGTGACTCACGGGTGGTCGTGCGATTGTGTGACTGCGACTGTGAATCGATTACGAATGTGAATGACTAACTTTGACTCTTACTGTGTGTCGCACGCGGCGATCTGTCTCCCTATGGCAATGGCACGTTAGTGTGACGGCGTGTGACATTTTGTGATGCTACTGTGACGTTCGGTGACGCCGCTGTGACGTTTTGTGGCGCCGCTGTGACGCTCCGTGACTCCTCCGTCGCCAGGTGGAGAAGGAACTGAAGGACAAGTGCGGCGAGATCCTGCAGCTTCTCGACTCGCACGTCATCCCGTCGGCCACCACAGAGGAGTCCAAGGTGTTCTTTCACAAGATGTGAGTCACGGCGGGCGTGCCGCTGGGCAGGGAGGGGCTCTCTGTCTGCACAGTGAGTCCACAGTTCAAGGTCCTGCTGCCATTCCTAACAGAGGTGACAGTACGCAGCTGGGTACTGCCGCTCTGCTAGAAATGGTGGGAGCCACCACTTGGGGCAGATATCGCTTGCGGTAAAGGTTTTCGGGCTCAGACGTCGCATCATATAGGCCTGTCCAATATAATGCTATTTCAGAGGCGCTAATTAGTACCTACTGTGTGAACTTTATCATACAGAATGGCGCTGTGTACATAATGTTTGCAAATGCTACCAAATAAGGCTTGTGACATGCATATTGTTGTCATGTGGTATGCTGCTCGATGGTGCATTGTGATCACCGTATGCACGCAAACAAGGGATGTCCGAGCAAGAACAATAGGTTATTTCTTGTGGCATACATGGTCATTGTATTGCATGGGAACTGAGCGGTTCCTGTGCTATTATCACACCCCGTACCCTCACAATATCGGGAAACTCCAACCGGTTTTGTCTATTTGACATTTTATGTAAGCAATACCATTTTCCGACTGTGCGTCAGCTCATTTATACGACACTCTGGGGTCTTCTAGCTTCATCAAGCCGTTTTCCTTAAATAATCGTTTTTAATTAGTGCCGAACGGTCCACCAGTCGGTGTTTAATGCCCGTGATTCCCCACTTCTGACGCAGTTTGCCCCAAGTGCGGGTATTCCGCCAGCAGGGCCGTTTTCTGACGCCGGACAGTGGAGCTGCAGGAGTCCCCCTCACGGAACTCTGTGTCTGATATCACTCGGAGACACGCCCGGTCCTGTACCGGGGTGCTCCCTGTTGACTGTAGAAATGACGGGCTGTTCCCCCACCTGCCCGAGCTGATGGTGACGATAGCCGTGCACCCCAGTATCGCCCCGCCCTCTCACAGAGGGGGCGCGGGGCGCACCTGTGCCCGTTCCACCGGCCCGCCCCGGCCGACTGTTCCGACTGTCATCTATCAGTTTCAGCGGCGGTGCCCAGTCATCGTGGGACGGGCGGCGCCCACCGCGGGGAGAGGTGGACGGGGAGCTCGCTGTAGAGGGACAGGGGCGGCGGTCAGGGGTCACCATAGTGGGACGAGGCGGCGAACGGGGATCGCCAAAGAGGGACAGGGGCGTCGGCGACCGAATGTGACAGGACGGGGCGCGGGCGGACACAGAAGGGGCTGTAGGGCTTGGGATAGATGGCGTATTGGGAGTTGATTGGAAGATGTTTATGGTAGGGATCTGTATTTTTGATATTGCGCTTTGTTAGTGCTATTTTCGATCACCCAATGAACCTGTGTCCGCTTGACGTTCAAACAGTACTCTCATTCACACCCGAATTGTAAAAAGGTCTGTTCCCTTGGCGCCAGCAGCTCGTCTGCGGGCCACAGTGGCAGTGTTTGCCGGTGCCTTTTTGCCGTCCCAGTGCTCTCCGCCCCAGTGCCGTGCCCGTGCCTGTGTGCCGTGCCGTGACTGAGCTCCGCGGCTCCCGAACCGACAGCCGCGCCATTGTTTACCCCCGGTGTGCCCAGCGCCGCTCCGCGGCATGTACAAACCGTTTTTATGTCGACAGGAATGGATCCATGGCCCCGTGTGGCGTGCTTGTGGCTTTTTGCCGGTCGGTTTTTACGGATCGCCGGCTGACAAGGAGTCGGGTTCGGTCGTGTCACCTGGCTGGCTGCCTGCTCTGCAGTGTTCGCCACGGGCCGCAAAATCCTAGTCCAGACCAGCCCAGGCCCATGGGTTCACAGCCCGGCCCAGCCCGAGCCCATTCATGGTAAAAGCGTCAAAGCCCAGCCCGGCCCAACCCGTCAAAAATGAATGGGTTAAAAATTATTGACACCGCACAGGTACCCAAAGGTAGCAAAGAGACAATATTTTGCGAGCTGCATGCACAGTGCACATTGCATGCGTGCTTTATTGACTCGTTTTTTAGTCTTGCGCAGTAATAAGCTATGTAGTTATAGTTTTTGTCTCAGTTGCGAGCCCCTGACTCCACTTAACTGTTCCTGGCCCAGCCCATCCACAGTCCATCGATCCTTCATATTTGAGGGCCCAGCCCAGCCCGTAGCCCAGCCCAGCCCATGGCCCATTGGGCTGGCCCGGCCCATGGCGAACACTGCTGCTCTGACGGCGCGTGTTTGTGTTTGCGTGCGCAGGAAGGGCGACTACCACAGGTACCTGGCAGAGTTCGCCACCGGAAACGAGCGCAAAGACGCCGCCGAGAACTCCCTGCTGGCCTACAAGGCGGCTACGGACATCGCCATGACCGAGCTGCCGCCCACACACCCCATTCGGTGAGATACTGGGACTAGAGAGATACTAGGGGACTCACTGCCGCCCACCCACCCCATTCGGTGAGATGAGATACTGGGACTAGGGAGATACTGGGAGATACTGGGGGGGGGGAGGGGGAGATATAGGAACAGCTGCCGCCCACACACCCCATTCGGTGAGATGACTTAGCACTCTGGTGAGATGCCTACTGAGGGATACGGGGGGGGGGGGGCGGCACTGGGCAGATAAGGGAGTGCTGTCGCCCAAACATCTCATCCGCTGAATTGGGGTAGGTACTGGCGAAATGAAGAAGGCATACAAGCGGGTAGCGTGATCAGACTTTGTCACCCCGAAAATGCAGGAAATGTATTACCACCCTTACACCATTTGCTAACAAGGAGTCACCATCGTCTTCCGCAAGATATAGCCTGAGACACGCCGTGCTTGTGCGTTTCAGATAGCAAGGGGGACGAACCGGACCGGTAACGCCGTCCCATGTTTGACGAGAATGTCTGTTCGCCTTATATGGACGGACACGTTCCGACTGACTTCTGTCGTTACTCTTATCAAATGCACAAACTTCTCAAGCGCCACTTGTCACCGTAGTAAGGAGTGGCCCTACATCCGACAAAAAACTTGTCCTCCTCGTTACGCTGCTCGACTTTATGGAGCGAGTAAAGCTGTTTAGTAGTAGTGGTCAACCTTGCCTCAGTGTTATGCAGACACTGCAGATCAAGGTTGTCCACTTAGTTAAGGAGGCAGACACGCCAATTTATGGCTCATAAAGCTGACCTGGTGAGTGTTCGGAGAAGAGCTGGGATATCTGGCCACTCACTGCTGTACCATTGACGGGCCGGTCGGCGAATGTGCTGTGCCGCCGCAGCGGTGGCTGGGCTGACTGACTGTGCCCCGTGCTGGGCGGACGCGCTGCTCACACCCTCCAGCAGCCCCATAAGGCGGCCTGTGACCGGCTCTCGCTGTTCTGAGCGGTCCGGTGCAGTGATGGGCGTGATCTCATCTGTGACCTCTCCTCTCCTGGCCCGGGCGCCACCCCCGCCGAGCTGCCCTTGATCCACTGCGGCTCTGTTCCCGGAGTCTGAGCAGGGCCGACGGGAGGGAGGGAGGAGCCCCTCCGATCAGAGCTAACGGTACTGATCGTCCCACACCAACCGGGGGAGGGCGGGTGTATGATATGGAGATTGGCACATATACTGTATCGATTGCAGTTTTGAGTTGAAAGTCAGCTGATGTCGGATCTGTATAGCTATCCCAATAACAAACTTATTTTTGTAAATAGTTACACTATGTCTGCCCTAAAGATGTCTGAATGCGGGATTATTCCGCCACCAGCGTTTAGACTCCACACTCCACGCGAATTCCTCTCTTTGTTCCCTCTCCTCACCTCCCGGACCATCTGGTCCTTTCCCTTTCTATCGGGCCCATAGCTCAGCCACAGCTATGTTTTCAGTTTCACCGAGTGTCTCACGGGGACGCCCCACCTTCCCACACGGTGTGTGTTGAACCAGCCACAGGTGGGACTGTGTGTCTGCAGTCATATCCCGGGGTGCCCCATCTTCTCACAGGGCGTGTATCTGACTCGGCCTCAGGTACTGGGCACTGGGCAGTGACCCATCCCCTCCGGCAGCCCCAGGGGCCGCTTTCCGAGAACCCACGCGCCGTGCCGCAGCCTCGCCGACCGTGACATTTCGGACACGATACGGGCTGACAGGGCGGCGTTTCGCCGCGCGCTGACATACACGGCAGAGACGTCCTCTTGTTTCACGCTCGGCTCGGCTCTGCTTGGCTCGGCGCCGTCCGTTGCTGGGTGGCAACGAAAGCCAGTGCAGGCGCAGCGTTGTGCCGCCATGACGCAACCGGCCTCAGCTATGGACAGTTTTGTCGGGGCTGTCGTGTGGGCGAACAGTCGTGACAAGCCTTCATTCAGGTCGAGGATTAGAGGCCCGACTTTCACTGGAAATTGCGCTCCGCCGATTTTTCTGAGTCTTTGTTGCCGATGTTGTTTGTGGTGACTGGCGGAGTGGTTCAAAAATGCTCGCCATGAGGTAGTGCGCGGTGCGCCTGGTTTGTTGTGATATCCCTGCAGAGCCCCTCGGCAGAGGCACGGCAGACCCACAGGACGTCAGTCTTTACCATCGCACCCTCGGCGCACTACGCGTCGCTGTATCACAAGTACCCATCAACCTTTCTTTCTGATCGGAACGACCGTGACATTTATCAAATTAACAGCCGCTGGGGCCAAAGACCGACTGCCCTCTAAGCTCGAACTCTGCGACGGTGCTGGCTCTAGGTGGTTGGGTGGCGATGGGTCGCTGGGAGGTGTTTGATACATCACGCTTCTGCTATAAACTCTTTATAGTTGGGCTCTGCTCTGAACCCAATTCCTTAAATGAGCTACATGGTAAGCAACTTTACTGGCTAAAGCAGCTTACCTTCCCTCGCAGCGTGATTTGGTGATGATTTACTCACTTCCTTGGTGTGGAATAATCCAGAAACACCAGTCCTTTCCTGCTTCCCATGACACATGGCTGTCATTTCTGGCGGTAAACTGGCCAGTTGGCCATCTCACTAGGGGGCTGGATGGAGGATCGGGCGCAGACTGTTATCAGGTAGGGCCGGAACTCGGCGGTGTGGCGAATTTTCACCTGCCGCCTCTGAAAGTTGTGCCATAATGGACCGAGGCTTATAAAGGTCACCCATGGATTCCTCGCTGGAAGTCGGGACACGGCCAGTCGCTTAACCCCGCTGGCCGCTCCGTACCGGGAAGCTAGGTGAACTTTATCCCGGCTGTATGGGTGGCTGGCCTGATTGAGGCGCAGCTCTGAGAAGCGCTCTGAGGTGCTGAGCAGGCCGAGCGCGGCCACTCCCGGATCCGTCAGCTGGCCCGGGGAAGGGGAGGGTGGGGAGGCGGCAGCCGAACCTCCGGCAGAGGGGCATCAGGTGAACCCAAACACCGCCCCGGTCACAGCTCTGAACTGTGGAACGATGACGTGGTCAGGATGGTTTGTCCTTTGTATATGATGCGTCGAGCTCAGGTGGATTATGATTTGCAGCTTGTTTGGTTCTAATGGAATGTGTTCTGATAAGGGAGCGATAAGATTGCCTGAATTGTAGCATTATTTCTGGGTTGATTTGTGGCTTTTATGAGTTCCATTAGGCTCGTTATATGGTGTCATTATGTTATTGTGGTGCTGTAGTCAGTGTTTATCCCGGCTGACCCAACGATGCCATGATTTTGACTCATAATTTTATTACACTTGACAATTCGTCTTTAGCTGCACTTCAGTATCTCCTAACAGCAGTCTGCGCGGCCACTGAGCTGCTCCAAGAGGACTCTAAGACGACTGGGACTGTCTGGAGTAGCTGGGACGGCGGAGGCAGCAGAGACCTCTGTCCGACCAAGTCGAACCATATCGGATTGTATAAGCGGCGGCCGGTCTGACAGCTAGTGGACGACGATCTAAAAAACCGCCCTCCTGACAGCCGGTCATGACGGATGGCGCTGTCCCAGCTGCTGACAGCAGCGGGGCCGACGGGTCACGCGACTCAGCTGACGGGAGGTGACCTCTTTTCGGCCAGTTTGAGCCGATGATTAGGCCAGGAACTGTGCTCGTCGCCGTATTACATTGCCCTTTTGCGTATTACGCATGTGTCAGATGCGTAGCGCCCCGTGGGGAGGGGAGGGACGCCGCCGCCTCGCACCCGGTGACGGTTTGTGATTTTTGTCGAAACCCGACGTCGGCCGTCGGTTTGAAGGTGTCAGATGACGCACCGCGGCGGGCGGTGACCGCGGACGGCGCGGAAAGGGCAGCGTACGCGTGGCCTGAGTGTGCGCCTGGGGAAGTGTCGGTGAGGGGTCGGTCGGCGGAGGGAGCGGCATGTCTGAGCTGCGCCGCGCGGGGCCGACTCTGACAGGCCGGCGGGGAGCGGCGCCGACCGAGCTCAGACGTCACCGCCGCTACTGACCGCTCGGCCGTCTGTATCGGCTTCTATTCACGTGGCCTTGCACGTGAGCGGTAAAGACTTGGCCATGTGTGTTGGCGACACTCACACTGTCCTGAGCCCGGTCTTGCCTACCCCAGCGCCGACCTTCCTCCTCTCTCAGCAGCAGACCACGGCCCTCAGCGGCCCCGACCCGCCCGGCAGCAGGGTAGGCGTGACCCAAGGCTCGCCGAACATTGCCTCATGACCTGGTCCGGGATTAGGGCACTGATCACTGATCGGTGTGACGATATCTCGCCAGTCGTGATGACGGGAGTCGACTTCCGCGCCGTGTGTCAGGCCGACCCGGCTCGGTGACGGCTGCCAGTCTCTCCGGGACAGGTCTCCAGGCGTGGTTTTCTCGAGTTGCGTGAGACGTTTCTGGAAATTGATGGCTTGTGAAAACTACGTCAGAGAGGCCGCCCCGGCGTTCCGAGAATTGCGGAAAGACTGGGCGACAGTGTTCGTGTTGTTTGGATGATAAGAACTGGTAAATATTGAGGAAAGTTAAGTGGATGTCAATCGGCCATTGTTTTCTAGTTAGAAGTGAAAAGCGGAGGGAAGTTGAGCTGGCATTATGCCTGATGTGACGACAAGGTCATGACTGGGTACGTACCGGGTCCAGGAAGGACAGCCGGTGAAATTAGGGAAGCCCGAGCGAGCCTGACTGTTTTCCGGCGGCCGCTCTGGCCGGTCGTCGGGCGGCTCCTGACGGCGGACCAGCCGCTCACAGAGCTGACCGGTTAGTGCTTACTCCGCTCACAGAGCTGAGACCGGTCAGTACTTATGTACAGCCGCTCACAGAGCTGAGACCGGTCAGTGGTCCAGCCGCTCACAGAGCTGACCGGTCAGTACGTATTTACAGCCGCTCACAGAGCTGAGACCGGTCACTGGTCCAGCCGCTCACAGAGCTGACCGGTCACTGGTCAGTACAGCCGCTCACAGAGCTGACTGGTCACTGGTCAGTACAGCCGCTCACAGAGCTGACTGGTCACTGGTCCAGCCGCTCACAGAGCTGGCCGGTCAGTACTTACTCCGCTCACAGAGCTGACCGGTCAGTACTTACTCCGCTCATAGAGCTGACCGGTCAGTATATACAGTCGCTCATAGAGCTGACCGGTCAGTACTTACTGCTCGCAGAGCTGACCGGTTACGGTCGGCGTTAGGTCAGGGGGTCCACAATTACGTAACCCGCGGAAGCCGAACATCATGTGAACATTGTTCTGGCGGGGAACTGTGTAGTGTGTACTGTTCAGTAAGCCTCTCATGGGAACGGACTAATAATGAGAGGGTAGCAGGTTCCGATACGGCTCGATATTAAGTATTAGCCATATGGGTCGGTGATCATGTTCTCAGCGTTCATGATATTCGTACGTGGCCTTTGCCGAGTTGTCTTGTTTTGTGAACAAATAACATGCTGCGCGCTGTTGCGTGGGATCAACCTCTGAGGTCCTGGACCCGATCATGATTCGCCGGTGAAAGTCGGCAGATAAGGGCAGCTGTAGCTAGTGTGGCCCAGAGTGCACGATGACGCCCGTGGGCAGCTCTCGTCTGCACTGAGCCTGTATCCGGTACATTGTTGTACCCGACTTCACTGACAATGCTGGCGATGCGGGCGGGCGCTCCCAGTTCACTAGGTGAGACAGGTATCGGCCGGCCGGGGCTGCTGTTTGGGCTGCTGACCTCAGGTGACCCCAGCGGCCCGCGGCCGGAGCGGGGTATCATATCCACTGGGTGTGGCCGCCAGGGGCCCCGGCCGAGCGCCGGGCGGCAGCAGGGTATCACGTGACGTGCCACTGTGTACCGCTGGGGGCCGGACGGGGCGGGGGAGGGGGTACGTGACATGACAGCGGCCACAGTGAACTCCAGCGCCCCTCCCCGTCCCCTGGGCCCGGCTGGAGGCCCCTGACACGACGCGGGGCGTGCCGGCCACGGCCGGGGCGGTGTTAACATTGCTCAGCACAGCGCGTCATGCAGATTAGCGGAGATTGCGGACATTTGTTGTCATTGGACGGTGGGGCGTTGCTGTAAACCGCACCAAACTGCGCACCATGATCGGGTGCCAGAATGTGTGGTGCTGCGCTGCAATTTGTAGGTGTTTCAGCCAACTATTTGACGTTCACATGTGGCTTGGGTGCGTGTAGGGTTTTCACTTCGCTGGAGGTGGGCCGCATTTTAGATGTTGTATCTATAGACGTTCATGTTTCGTGTATGCGGAATATGCTCCAAACGGACCTCGTACTAAACAAAATAAACGCTCCTCTGTCATTGTGAGATATGTGTGCTTGTTATTTGAGTCATTAGTCGGTTAAACAATACACAACCGACCTTCGTAACATCGAAAAATCTTAGCATCACCTCACTTACCTTGAAATTCTATGCCGTTCCGCGTATGTTTTTAGAGTTTTCGGTTCTGAAGGACAGCCCTCGCTAACCCTTCCCCTCTTTTACCTATTACTCCTCACTTTTGTGATAAGTTTCGCTGAAAATGCGGCAGCCACCCATCGTAATGACGTGCCGGGACCGTTCTGCTGAGGAAGATTTTGTCACTGAATTTGGGCCAGCACCGCTCTGCAAGGCCAGACATTGCCAGTATCCAGGAAAGCAGTGCCCTCGCCACCCCTCCGGCACCGGAATGCAACCGTTGGTGTCAACCGGCCGGCGCGGTGCCGTCTCTAGCCCATGGCAACGGGCCGGCCGCCGGTGCGTCACCGTTAGCGCCGTGCGTGAGACCGAGTGATGCTGCCGACGGGACCGTTTTCCTCCACTGCGCCACGTTGGCACCTCGGCGGCGTCAGGCTGGTCGTCCGTCCCTCTGTCGGTCGCGTGCCACCACAGCGGGTTGTAACGATGTCCTAAGCAGAGGACGAAAGTGACTTTTGACACTCATCCCATAACTATGCAGGAATTGGCGCTATGTGCCGACCCTTTGTGCCCGCCGGCAGTGAGGTCGGCGGGTGACCTCGGCTGCTGATCTATCGCGGACATTTTTGTGATTGCTGTGGCGTGATGGCGGGCCGTGCACGCCGCTCTGTGGGGCCCAGCGGCATGACACACGCGGTATGCGGCGGGTGGTGCGCCGCCGACCGCCGAACCGTGCATGAACAGACGGAATTCAGACCGCCCGTTGTAGGTCGCTCTGTCATGGATGGTTTCACTATTTTTTATTTTCGCTGGCCATTGTATGCGGTATGTCGGCGGAGTTCAGAATGTGGGCCGGTCGTTGTGTTGGTGTTCAGCTCGGTCTGGGGCGGGTCCACCCCAGCGTATGCCCTGCGTGTCGGCTCGTCGGCGTTCCTGTGCCGCATGACCTCGGTCAGCCTCGAACGCTAGGAAGTAAATGAAGACAGTCTGTCACAGTCTACAGGCTATAACATAGTTTGAAACATTTTGTTTATCTAACCTGCTCTGTGATGAGCATGTAAACGTCCAACACTCGTTTACCTGACGGAATAAAACTGTTAGAATGTCTATGTTTAGGCTGTGCTGTCGCTCTTATCGCTGCCTTGCTTCTGGTCTTGTTCATGCCTGTCTTGTTCCAGTAGTTCACTGTTTCTCCACTTCGCTGTGCTCCCTCAACTACTGTCGCCCAGTCCACGCCGCCCCTGACCCTCCCCTCTCCGTGCAGGCTGGGCCTGGCGCTCAACTTCTCCGTGTTCTACTACGAGATCCTCAACTCTCCGGACCGGGCGTGCCGGCTGGCCAAGGCGGCGTTTGACGACGCCATCACCGAGCTGGACCGGCTCTCCGAGGAGAACTACAAGGACTCCACGCTCATCATGCAGCTGCTGCGCGACAACCTGACGCTGTGGACGTCCGACATGCAGACAGACGGAAAGGAAGGTGAGACTGGGAGAGGAGAGAGGGGGAGGAGGGGAGAAAGAAGAGGGGAGATGGATGACGGAAGGGAGAGCTGAGGATAAGAGACTGGTAGCTGGCAAAGGAGGGATAAAGGGTACGGGACAGGCCCGAAGCAGGTGAGTTGTGATGGTTGTGAGGGACGCTCGACTGGTTGAAACGCAATGCGGTGGTGTCCAGTAACTTGCGATGGTATTGTTAATTTCTGACTGTCCCTTTGATGCATAGTTAGTAAGTACCCGTCAAATGGGATTTGGTTGTGTGGGCGTGGTGAGTCCTGGTTTTCGTTTTGATAGAAGCTTAGGTAATACATTAGGAGTTACGTTCACGCTTACGTATAGGTTGTACGTCAGCTGACTGTCATGAGGCAAGCATTATACAACTAGTCTGACGCCGGTCTAATTCCTGGTGAACTTGTTATGTAAATGACTGGGGCCGGGTCCACCGCTGGCCCCAGGGGGGGGGGGGGAGGAGGAGGGCTGTGCTCCCCCTGCCGGACCCCGTGCTCCCCCTGCCGGACCCCATGCTCCCCCTGCCGGGGGCCGTGCTCCCCCTACCCGGACCCCGTGTCCCCTGTGACCCGCCGGACGCCGAGCGCCTGTGTCTTGTTGGCTACCCTCGCCTGTGCGACATTCTACGGTATTCTATGGCATTCTACAATGCTCCACGATAAATGTCAGAGAATCGACAGCGCCCCGTGCTGTTGTGCTCCACTTTGTGTTATACAACAGCGCTTATGTAAGCCATGTTTCTAGCCAGACGGTGGAAAGCTGTTGTTTCCTTTTTCCTATCTGGGTTATTGCTCTTTCGTCACGATATTCGCCCGAGTTTTGCGCTATCGCCGCTAATATGTCAATAGCATTGCACCCTTGCACCACCACCGGGCACTTTCGATTTCGATATTCCCGTATAAGCGTTGTGACAGGACTTTAACGCCACTGTCACGTGCGTGCACCCAAATCACACAGGCTCCTCCGATCCTGAACTCTGATATTGGCCCACTGGTCGTGAGGTTCTTATGTGAGGAAAGTGGACACCACTGCTGGACCCCTGGTGGCCACTGGACGAACTGATCCCGCCACGTCAGGTCCTGATCAGCCGACTTTTATGCTCCTGGCTCTAAACATTTCTGTCCTGTTTTCCTGCTATATTTATGCAAAGATGCATGTGTGTATTATATTCATTATTATGGAGTTTTACCTGATCCTATCATAGTTGTTGAATTTCCAGGAATATGCAATGCCAAATCATCATGCACAGTGTAAATTGCACACCATTTAGGGAACTACTTACCAGGAAAATCAAACAGTTATAGAGTGAGGCAAGATGTGCTTATTAGTACCTTTGACAAAACCGTCTCCAATTAACGCATAGCTATGACGAAAAGTTTTCTGGATACCAGTAACATATGTAAAACCAAAATAGCGCTGCCGCTTTTTTTTCTAGTGACTACGTCTCGTAGCGGCTGTTCCTCGAAACTGTCACCAGGCAATTCCGCTATAAATAACTTGGCTTTATGCGACCCTCCTTTGGCCTGGGGCTGTCATCAATGCCTCCAGCGTTAATAATCATGGGCCGTGGCCGGGGCTTTTAAGACCGAGACGGCACGGTACTGCCAGCCTTTTGTCGTGTTGTTCCGTCTCGCTGGCTTTTTTGTCCAATCAGTACCCAATCACTAGGTGGCACTGTCCTCTGGGCCGGCCGCGCTCTTTTTCCGTCGTCGGAGGACGTTGACCGGTGCTTTTTTCCCGTGTACTGTCTCCGGGCCGTACCCAGCCGGGCTTGTTAGTGCTGGCGTCGTGTTCCTTATTGTGTGTGTCAGAGACCGGAGACGTCGGATGGAAGTCCTTGTTACATCTGCCCTGGACTCAGCATTGATCTGCTCCGGCCTACCAGTTGGTGTCTCATTGTTAGAAATCCGCATTGAACGTGGTTGTTAGTTCATTCGACGCTCACAGGCTATTGTGGGTAGCTGGGGTGCTGTGCTATACGCTGGACTCCCAGTCCTTGTTATACCTGAATTAGTACCACGGCTGCCTGTGCTAATACTGACGCTCGCACATTGCTCACTGCCATTGACACCTGCTGTTGTATTTGACCAGTAATTGACACGCCACAGGCTGTGCTGTTTTTGCACCACATTTCGTTAGTGTGCCGTTGACTATCGGTCGCTGGTGTTGGTGCCTTTGTACTCCAGCTGACCTTAATCTATCTGAACAGACTGGCAGGCGCAGTTTGTCCTGTTACTCCCGTCCTGTTTGACCCCACCGACTGTGTTCGGTCAGATATGCGCGTGGCCCCGCTGTCACGATGTACCCCTTCCGTTCCAGGCGAGGCCGGTACCGGTGAGGAGGCGCCCGCCGTCCAGGACGTCGAGGAACAGGACGTGGCGTAACCGGCCGGCCGGCTGCGCTGTGTCGGCGCCGGCCAGCGCCCAGTTCAGTATTGTTGCGGTCACAGACACTCAGACACACAGACATACATACAGACGGTATTCACACACGCCTCACCTGGCACACTCGGCGCGCCGGGGGCCGGCGGCGACCAGCCGCCGATCGCTACAACCGCGCCGGGAGTCTGCGGGACAATTTTTTAGTCGGATGGTTAGTTGGGCCGGTGCACTGTGCGCCGACTCTGCGCGTCGCCCGTTGTGTCAATCAATTTTCACTTCATTTCTCATTGTCATTGCGTCGTGTCCCCGCGCGGCGGGGCGCTGCTTCGTCTGACCATTTGGTGGTTTGCCGCGCGGCACCGGGACGGTGTGCCCCGCCGGCTGGGCTGACCCGGCGGCGGCGGGGCCCCGCTCCGGCGCCCGCCGGCTAGCCGCCGGCCTGTGATGTCTTGTGCGCCGTGCGTGTGTTTTTTATTATGATTTGTTGGGTGGCGGCGCGCCTGTCGCGCTGCTCTCGTTACCCGCGCGCTGCGCGTGCGTTCCTAGTTATGTTTGTAGTGCTGGTGGTAGGCGCGCGCGGGTTTGTATCTCTGGGTTTCTGCCGCCCCCGCCTCTGCGCCGCCGGGTCTGGGTATACTCACCGCCGGATGACCCGGTCAGGTCACCAAAGTCAGCAGTGGGTGACCTTCAGTCTCTGCGGGTGGACCCTTTGGCCATCACGGCGTCAGGCCCGGTAACTCAGCGTTCTTTATGGGGGCATCAAGGCAGCTCAATGCGTCGGAAACCTGCTTAAATGTAACGCTTATTCCACGAGAAACCCAGGGTATGGTAGCACTTCAGTCGGAAAAGTATGCCGTCTTCGGCCACCGGGCGGTCCCAGGGCGGCACTGGCCTGCCCTCTGGTGGCGGCGGCGGCCTGTCTGCGCCTGTGTTCCTATCGGCGGCGTGGGGTGTCGCGTCGACCGTCCTCACGCCGTCTCACTGCCCAGCTCTCTGACCTCTCCTCCTGTCCTCTCTCCGCTGCTCTGCCCGCTCCCACCCCCCACCCCCACCCCCTCGCCGGCGCTCCGGCCGGGCCCGCGCGCGGCCCTCGGCTCGTCGTTTGATCTCTTGTTGACATTCCATGCGGCGGCGCCGTCTGGTGCCGCGCGCCACTCTTCGTGATCTCGTGCTACTCGGGTGTCGGCTGTTGGGTTTTGCGCGGTCGGCGTGCGCTGTTGCCTCACTGGCTGTTGCCTCACCGTGTCTCTGTGGCTGTCTCTCACTGTCCCACCATGCCTCACCGGGTGTCTCTGCCTCACAGTATTTACCGACCGGCTCTGTCTCACCGTATCCGTGCTCTCTGTGGTCTGTCTCATTCCTGTCATTTGCTCACCGGTTCTCACTTTAAACGGCTCTTGGTGGGTGTGATGGTACGGTTTACACGACGCCCCGGCCAGAGAGGAGAATTCGATAACAATCGGTATTTATTCAGTCGTAGCTCTCAGTGTTTGAGGATATTCTGTCGGAGGTACTCGGGATTGGTGTGCCAGCTCTGATCCATCGCTGGCCAGGCGGCGCCAGACTGGCAGACGTGCCCGCAGACAGACAGACAGACTGGCTTTAACGGGCGGGACCCTGCACGCGTCCGACCTTGTTCTGTTTGCCTCAGCCGAGGTACCCTCATTGTCTTTGGAAATAAATTATTGTTTAAACAACGGCCAGTGCTTTGCAATAGGAGACCGAGTTGGGATGGAGGGAGCTGTCAGACATGAGCTGAAACTGGCGGTGTGCTCGGACGAGAGAGCGGGTACTGGTGGCGACCACTAGTGGACGAGAGTGCGCGTGGTGCGGTGTAAGATAACTCTGTATATCGTGGCCATCTCAAATAGCAGCGGCAACCAATCACAGTTTCTCGATGCGGCAACATTTGGTGCTGAATGCCAAACACTGACGAGAATCCACCTGGGTTCCGTAGCACACATTTATGTCATTAGTTTCCAAACCGATTCGTCTGATAGAGCGGATCGAATGTTTCACATCGATCTCAAACCATGTCCTGACTGCGGTCGATGGCGCACCGTACACCGCTGCCCTTCAGCGACGAGACTTCGTGCCCCGCTTAGGGTTCGAACCCGGCTGGCTGGGTCAAGAAGCAAAGACCCTACTCCATAGGCCAGGTTCTTCCCGTGGAATTAGTTTCATGACCAGGCACTTCAGTGGCACAGTGGCAGACGTTTCGCCTTAGCCGTCATGCCCGCTTTGCGATCCCGCTCACCCATCCACACACCAATCTTATGAGTCAATACTGTATTCAAATGTAACACATTGGCAGAAGGCATCCGAGTAGAGGCCATGCGGCTAAAATCTGCAATACATAACGCACAATATCAAACAACATTCCTGCAACACGGGATCTCGGTTTGGCCGTGGTTTGTACAGACAGCGCCGGCAGCGCCCCTGGCGGCCGCCGCTGGTATCACGACACGATGCACTTCTCCTTGTCCTCTCTGTGCCGGCGCCGGCCGCCGCCGCTGCTCGCCTGCCGCTGGCGCGCGTACGCCAGCGAGTCGTTGGGCACGTACGAGATGCGCACGCCGCCGTACGCTCTCCGCGGCGGCAGCTCGTACGGGAAGTCGTCCTCGCTGCTGGACGAGCTGCACGTGCTGCACGAGCTGTGCCGGTCGTCCTCGATGGGCGCCGCCGCCGGCGCCGTGAACACGTCGCGCGCGCGCGGGTGCGCCGGCGCCGGCCGCGCGCGCGGGAACGTACCGTGCCGGCGGCGCGCACCGCCGGCCGGGCTGCCCGAGCTGTCGGTGCTCGTGTTGGGCGCGTCGTCGCCCTCCGGCGGAGACGCCTCGCGCACCTGGCTCGGGTCGAAGCGCACGCTGCGGCTGCGCGCGCCGCTGCCGGACGGCGTGCGGCCCTCGCGCAGGTGGCGCGCGCTCAGGCTGGACTTGTGCGGCTGTCGGCCGCCGGCGGACGGCGAGGCCGGCGCGGCGTCGGCCGCCTCCCGTCGCAGGTCGGGCAGGGAGGCGTGCCGGCCGGCCTCGGCGCGCAGGCTGCTGCTGCGGCGCACCTGGCGCTCGGCGCTGCTGCCGAGCTCGCGCAGCAGCCGGTCCCGCAGCTCGCGGCGCACGATCTCGCCGAGCCGCTCGGCGTCCACGTCTGTGAGGCTGATCTCTCGTAGCACCTCGACGCTGCGCTCGGCCACCACCTGTTCGAGGTTCTTCTGGTGCAGGATGCGCTCCAGACTGCGCTCCGAGCCGAGCCGCTCGTCCCGCAGCGCCGTGTCCAGCGCCTTGTCACTGGCCGACCGGCCGGCCCGGTACGCGCCCTCCGGGGACGCGCCGGGTGACGCGCCGGCCGAGGCGGCAGGTGCGGATGCCGCAGCTGCCGCCGCTGACGGGGAGGAAGACGTGGCGGAAGACGAGGTGGGCGGCGCGCCTCCCTCGGAGGGGCTGAACGGCGCCAGCGGCCGGCGGCCCAGTTTGGGCGAGTGCTGCAGCGCCTTGCGGCCCATGATGGGTGAGGCCCGCCGCGCCCCGGGGCTGCCCAGCGGGGTGGGCTCGCCGCGCGGCCGGTGCACGGGCGAGGCGGACGGCGCCGGAGACGGCACCGGCGCGTCGTTCACCTGTGAGGCCGCCGAGCCGGTGCGCGGCACGCCGCTGTCCACGCTCGAGTCGGCCGAGAAGGCGCCGCCGGCGGCCAGCTCGGCGGCCGCGCGGGACACCACAGCCGCGCTGTACGCCGGGTCGCTGGTCGGCAGCCCGTGTCCGTGTCCGTGCCGCTGATCGTGTCCGTGCCGCTGATCGTGTCCGTGCCCGTGACGCTGATCGTGCCCGTGCCCGTGCCTCTGATCGTGCCCGTGCCCGGACTCGGGCGGCGGTGGAAGACCGACGTTCCCCTCGGAGGTGGGCGGCAGGCCGTAGCCGCCCATCCCGGGAGTGGGCCGCACGCCATACGTCGGCCCGATGGAAGAGCAGGTCCTGCCGTAGCCGGGGACGGGGCCGCGGCCGGGCTCCGCCGAGCACGCCCGGCCGTAGCCCGGCTCGGGGCTGCGGCCGTAGCCGTGCTCGGCGCCGCCCATCAGCCGGCCGTGGCCCTGGTCGTGCCCGGCCGCCCGGCCGTACCCCAGCTCGGCCGAGGGCGGGGTGCGGCCGTAGCCGGGCTCGGTGGAGGCGGAGCGTGCTCCGTAGGTGGGCTCCGCGGGCCCGGGCGTCCGGCCGTATGCTGGCACCGGGCCGGCGGAGCGCGCTCCGTACCCTGGCTCGGTACCGGCAGAGCGCGCCCCGTAGCTGAGCTCGGCGCCGGCCTTTGCCGCCCCGTAGCTGGCCGTCTCGGTGGTCTGGGTGCCCGTCGTCTCCGGCGGCCGGCCCCGCTCGTCCAGGGAGAGCGCCTCCAGCATACAGTCGGCGGCCGGCGACTTGGGGGACGAGTAGAGCGCCTCGGCCTCTGGGGGCGGCGGCGGCGCGGTGGTGGCGCCCTCTGCGTCCGCAGCGGACACCGCCGGCGCCTCGCCGCGGCTGCACGGGATCGAGCAGAAGATGGCGCCGCGGCGAGGCAGGAACGGCCGGCCCAGCAGCGACGTGCGGCAGAACTGGCACGAGAAACAGTCGCGCGTGGCGTGCCAGTGCTGACCCTCGTGCGTCATTTGACCTGGGGAAGGACACTTCAGTCAGTCTTGGCGCCGACAGTTCACATACAGACGTCCGAATCGCTATGTGAAAGCAGCTCGGTTTAACGCCACTAGCTACCGTATCGACCGGCCATCGACACCCAAATAAATGACATCGTAAACGGACGCACAAAAACGTGCACAGAGCGTACAACAGCGGCAGCACCGGCGCCTTTCTGGTGGGCACATCGGTGACACTATCAGCCCGCTGTTAGTACTCCCGGGGTGTGTAAAAAGTCGCCCAACCGGTCTGAAATGTCACCTATCGTTCAGCGAAGACGCACCTGGACCTTTCGTCATAAAACATAGCTTCTAGGAAGAAACTGGCAACTAGGAAAACGTAGCTTCTGAATAAGTCTGCCCCGCCACTGCGTCTACCCACCTTGGTCGACGCCGATGGACTCTCCGCAAGCGTCGCAGTACTCGGCGAACATGGCGTCGAAGCAGCCCAGGCAGTAGGGCCGGCCCTCGCGCATAATGTAACGCTGGCCGCCCAGCTGCTGGTCGCACTCGAAACACGCAAAGTGCTTCATGTGCCACGCGCGGCCTTCCGCTTCTGTGCACTCGTCCGCAAGGATAATCTGCCGGAGGGAGGGCTCGGGTCAGAACAGAGCTGCCAATTTATACACAAGACAGACACACTGACCGCCTGTGAGCATTATTGTCAAAGCGAAGTCGTTTGTAACCTTAAAAATTACAAGAGGTGACAGTAACAAACCCAAACATCTGGTGCATGCGGCAGTTCAGCAGACATTTTCGTGTCAGGGACAGCTAACAAGACACTGATAGCACAGAGCGAGATTTCAAGGCACGAGCGAAGGACAAGATCAGGTATGTACATGTGGCTAAAAAGCGTATATAGTCAGAAATGCGGCCCTCGTACTTATCCCGCGGAAAATCTCACCAAGGACATGTGTAGTTTGACACGCGACGTGTGAAAATCCATCAGACAATCAAACGCATGACATCGAGGATAAGAGAATCCGCTCGGGCGCGCACGCAATGCCTCCGTATCTGATGCGGGCCTCAGAGCGGACCCTCCCGGAGGACAGACTCCCGGAGGACGGGCTCCCGTAGGGGCGCCCCCGGAGGACCGACTCCCGGAGGACGGGGTCGCGGAGGACCGACTCCCGGAGGACGGGGTCACGGAGGACCGACTCCCGGAGGACCGACTCCCGGAGGACAGACTCCCACTTTCCTCACCTCGTCACAGGCGGCGCAGCGCGGCTTCAGGCTCTCGGCGTGGTGGCGGCCGCAGAACATGCGGCCCTCCTTGAAGAAGTAGATCATGTCGACGAGCAGCTCGCGGCACACGCAGCACGTGAAGCAGGCCGGGTGCCACGAGACGTTCGGCCCGGCGCGGGACGCCTGAACGCACATATCGGCGCCAGAGAACGGCTCCGAACACTGCCGGGAGCAGACACAGGGACGGGTCAGTTAGGGATAAGATAGGGAACAATGAGTCACGGGCCAGGGACGGAACACCGAGTCACAGAGCAGTCACAGCGACCGGCAGCGGGAGCGAAAAGGTAGCCCGTGCAGGCAGCGCGTCATACGGCATAAGTCCGAGAGAAGTTCCAACAGCCAGTTATTTATGAAGATCCGAACAAGCTACCATACGCGATCATCTATCTGCGAGAAGTGCAAAACGGCACCCACAATCAGCCGCTGACACTAATGCTCGTCCGCCAACGGTACTCGACGCCATGAACAAACACCGGTGTAGCATAAATCTCCGGGCGCATAAACACGCCGCAGCGGCGGCCATTACTACCTGAATTACATACATATCGATTGCCGGATTAAAGCCCGCTCCACAGCCAACAAACAAGTGCCGGCCCGGCTCTCGGCGGTGCACAGGCCGGTCCGGGGACGGGAGGGAATCGGGTAGAGATGGTGCTGACGATCAGGAGCTCGGCTGGGGAGCTGAGTCAGGGGCCGTGTCAGGGTGTCAGGAGCTGTGTCAGGAGCTGTGTCAGGAGCCACGTTACTCCCATTGGCGCAGTAGACCGGCGTCTGCAAAGTGAGCGGCAGTTGGCGGGCCGTGTCAGGAGTTGTGTCAGGACTAGGAGCTGTGTCAGCTGTGTCAGGATAAGGGTCTGTCTCAGGATTAGGAGCTGTGTCAGCTGTGTCAGGAGCCGCGTTACTCACGCTGGCGCAGTGAACCGGCGTCTGCAGGGTGGGCGGCAGCTGGCGGGCAGTCCCGCGACCCAGCGCCTCCCGTTTACGCTGAGCAGAGAACAGACGCAGCTCCCGCTTCTCGTCCTCGGAGAGACTGTTACAGTACCGCACCTGGAGACACACAGACATACAAACGGGAGTTAGTTCTCGTCCCCCGAGAGACTATGACAGTACTGCACCTAGCGACACACAGACAAACGTGAGTTAACCGGGTGACACACCGGCTATGTATTGCGAGCACTATGTAGGACACCTTGGTGACGGAAACACTACAGGTCCACACATCAAAGATCAGCGGCTAAGCATTGCCTAATGCAAAACCTACTGTGGGCTGATTGAGGGAGTCGATCTGAGCTTGGCCTAAAATTAGTCCTATTTGATAAGCCGTCACTGAGCTCTCTATTGAGCTGACATTCATTTGCATTTAGGTAATCTCCTATTTCGCATAACTCTGTGGAAGTTGTGAAAGGCCCTTTCGAGCGTACGCGAGTGATTATCCCGTGGTCGAGATTACACCGTCAGTGAAGACGTCATTTATGAAAGCCCCCACGGCCCACACGGTCCGTCGAGGATCGGGGAGCGGCACCTATAGCACCGTCCCGACGGCCTACACTGGGCAGACACAGACATCAACCAGTGACACATAACGCCCAGACGCCGCCTTATGACACCACGCGACCAGACAGACACCTGTGCCGCCGCGGCGCTTATACAGGCCGGGCACGAGCGGCGCTCTCCTAATGGCCTTGATAAGCCTTTTACGCTCGGCGTGAACACCTCTTAGCGTGTTACAGCGGCTCCGCCAACGCGGCCATATAAAGGACGGCTCACACCAGTCTGGTGGGCCGGAGTGGACCCCACACTGGGCCCACTGAGTGGCCCGTGTTAAGAGATCCGATGCCGGGCGGCGAGTGTGGCGGGCCCTCCCCGCCTGGTGCCACCCTGGCTGGGCGCTCGGCGAATATGCTGCCCGCCCAGTCGGACAGTCCCTCCGCGCCTCGCACCGGGCCCTGACTGTGTGCATGTCCTATGGCGGGGGGAGGATGGCAACAGGCCGGACCCGCCTGCCCGTACCGAGCCTAGCCGATGTAGCATCTGACCCGGCAAAGAAAGCACGAGGGGCGCCACGTTACACCGAGTACAACGTTCTCCAGCACAGCTCGTAGACCTGTGCACTGCAGTCCTCCCGCCTCGCACAGCGGCCGGCTCGCACGCCGCGGCCGGTCCGTGTCGACCTCTGCAGCCCTCCCGCCTCGTGCCGTGGCCGACCCGTGTCGCCTGCCGTGGCCGGCCCGTGTCGCCCGCCCGGCCGGTCCGGCACGTCCCGGTCGTGTTCTGACGCGCCGATACCATCCGAACACGCAGCGTTCGTCTGAACCGGTTCCGTTCGGCGCGGCGGCGGGCTGGTCCTGGACGGCTGTCGGCCCCGACAGTCAGGCGTGACTGTCGGGGCCTCCCACTCCTCCCCACTAGGTGTCCTATGTCTGACTCGTGCACAGTTAATTCGTCCGGTCCATGTCTGACCTCTTGTCCGGTTCTATCGTGCCATGTCACATCCTGCTGCAACCTGGCCGTCACCTGTCCTGTACGAGTATTCAGCCACCGGTCCATAATGAGCGGTTCGAACACGACCCTCCGCAGCATGAGCGGGCTACCGACAAATATGATGACGTGCTCAGATTGTTAGCCGTTCTCAAAAAGCTTGCCCAATACGACCTCTTAACGACCCCTGGACACATGATTCACAGCTTAACGACACCAAAATATCGATAGATTAACCCGCGCCCTGGTGGGGTCTGTTTATAACGCGACCTGGTGGGGGGGGGGGGGGCTATTTTTTGCCCCCCCTCGTATCTCCGAAACTACTGGACGGATCCGAAAAATTCAAACGGCGTTCGAAAGGCCTGTCAAATTTGTCAAGGGAAACCAATTTTTTTTGACCTCGGGGTCACCGATGACGTCACAGGTCAGGTCAAAGATGAAATGTTTCACCGTTCACGGGTCTTCTAGGGAATGCGCTATAACACCGAGGAAAACGCATTTTGTCGGGAATCAGCGATAGGGCGTCAGTTGCCTAGTAGATATGTTGCTGTTAGAGGTCACTGGTCATACCAGGTCAGGTCACAGGTCAGGTCACCAAAGGTCACCAAGGGTCACCACATGAACCCAACTTTACTAAGGTTATGCGATGCATGTTTTATGTCCAGTTTTTCATTTCCAACTCAATGGTGTTGGTTATAAGACCATCAGGTACGGTTTAGGTCACTTTCTGGTGTAGGTCAGGTCAAGGTCAGGTCAAAAAAGGTCAAATTTCAAAGTTGATATTTTTGCATAAAATGGGTATTGATTCGATGCAGCTCGCCACGGGGAGTCTAATGGTGCTCTTTGTTTTGCGCTACGAGGTCTAGAATTGCTGAAAATTGAGTTTGAAAATTTGACGTCATCAATTTTGAACAGTTTTTTCGCTATAACTTGGCCAAAAAAAGAGGTATCGATCTCAAATTTGGTATGTAGATAGAAGGCGGTAAGGACTATCACATATATTCCGTTTTTTTCGAAATTCAAAAAACTTTTTGGATTTTTTGGCTATTATATTCAAAAAATCTATTTTTTGATTTTTGGGGGTCAAAATCCAAAAATTTCAAAAATCCGAGATAGCAGTTTTGTAGCCCTGTCCATTCTACAGCTTTTATGTTTGTATCATTTTTCTGTATTTGCAAAGCTATACGCCTGACAGCTCTTCCCGCGAAACCCTTTTTTGGGTCGAAAACGGCAGAACATGACGTCACTCTGACGTCATTTCCGGCCAACCTATCATAGCCTTTGGAAAAATTTTTGGTCACAATGTGTAAAATTGATGTCCGGGAGGGTACTGAAAGTTTGGTGACGATCGGCGCAGTGGTTCTGGAGATATATTGAAAAGTCTGGAGGGGGGGCAAAAAATAGCCCCCCCCCCCCCCACCAGGGCGCGGGTTAATGAGGGAGCATGTCGGTGCACAAGGAAAAAGAAACCAAACAAAATCCGATGCGTCAGCATGGCCGTGAGTCGTGACCTCCAAGGTCGCCATCTTGCCGATGAAGTGATTTGCCATTGGCACGGCTGATCACGGGCCGTTTCGGTGAGAGCGGGCCGCCGTTCCGGGTCGACTGCGGTATTACGCGCCGCTCCGGGCGGCCGTCACGCAAACAGCGCGGGCAGCCGCGCGCGAGCTCGGCCCATTTGGCCGGGCAATCGCACCGCGGCGGCCACACTCGGCGACTGACCGTCCGACCTCGATACGGCCCGAGAGAGAATGTGAGCGAGCGCGGGCGGCATCTCTCACACGTCCTCGACACGCAGCGGCCGACTCCGCGCCCTCTCACAAAACCCACAGCCGTCATGGAGGTCGCGCCGCGGCGCCGCCCCCGTACTCCCCAGTCCGCTCACGCTTCGGCGAGTGACCAACTGACCAGCTAAACGCTTTGTCTGCTGTGACAATTAACAGGCGGCTTTATGGCGCATTGAACACAGGAAAACCGGCTATAAAACGGCCGAGTGCGGCGCCGCGCGGCCGGCCGGTCGGCAGCTCCTCCCGCTCCGCGGCTCACACATGAACGCTAGACGGCTACACAGCACGCCGGAGAGCGCTAAGACGTTTGTGTTTGCACAGCGAACAATGCAGCACGCTTTCCGCGTGATTCCACGACGCTGACTCCATCACAGACGACACAGTCCGGCGGGGAGGGGCGGGCGGCGGGACGGGCAGGGGACGCCGCGACACCGAAATTCCGCGACGATTCGCGCCGCCCAGTGATATGCCGCGTACAAAACATTCCGCGGCGCCGCTGGAGTCCGCAGGATAACACCAAACAGGGCAGAACCGCGTACGGAACGCGACAGGAACTCTGCGAGCCGTCACCGAGCAAACCGGCGACCTGATGGGACTTGGGAGCTATCAGCCTTAGTGCCGACCTGGGCCGGTGGTTCTGCGGCGTCGGTATGGTGACGAGTGGCGACCCGTGCCGGTCACCACCCGGCGACATTCCTCACCTCATTATCATGCGGCGGGAGCTGCGTGATGAGCTGCTTCACGCGGTACTTTTCGCCCACCGAGTTGACGTAGGGCACCTTGTCCTCTGGCAGTGCGCAGAAGTACAGGTGCACCTGAAACGGACGGGACAGAGTCGTTACCGTGGGCTGCTGGCGTGGTCACCGTGCAGACACAAAAGGGGCCGACCGGCCGCCGCTGACCGGAATACGGATACGGCGATCGGCGTGGCTCCCAGGCGGCAATAAACATATGCAGCGAGGTGACCAAACGTGGCGCAGACCGTGAGACTTATGGCGCGGCTCAGACGGCCGGGAAGGACCGGTGGCGTCCCCCGATCAGCAGGAGACAGGTCTCCGCCCCCAGACGGCGACTTCAGAGGGAGCCTGCCGCCAGCCGCGCACTTCTCGGAACACAAACGTACGTACCCAACAACCCCAGAACAGCTCCTGAACTACAAACAGATGAACTTAAGATCGGTATGACGCCGCCCCGGAATGCCCTCCCGGCGGATGCTGACTCCATGTGACACCTCTGCTGAACACTGACCCTATGTGACACCTCTTCTGACACTGACTCTGGCTGACACCTCGGCGGGCCCCGCGCGGTAACGGCAGCTGACAGCGAACAGCGGCCCCGCACACCGGGATGACAGGTCCAAGTGTGACCCGCGGCGCGTCTCGCCTACCGAAATAACACCCCGAGACAGAACCACTGCCCCTGCCGCGGCGGAGCGCCGACACTCGCCCCGGGGACGGTCCTCTCTCACAACCGTCACAGCCCTCTCCGCCACCCGGAGACAACCGTGACAGGTCCGCCGGTTCCCACCACCTCCTCCCGCGACTCCCGGCGGCTCGCGGTCATGAATAATTCGCACGGGACACAGCGCCGCCGCCACCGCCACTAAAGCCGTCCTACCGTCTCCAGAAATTGCCCGAGGCTAAGTTACGGGATCATTCGTCATTCTGACGGTGGTAGCCACTGGCAGCTTTGCGGCAGCTCTAAGGCAGCTCCACAGAAGCTCTTGGGGTTTGGAGACGGCTCGGGGCGGCTCGGGCGGCTCAAGGCGTCTGAGAAGGCGCCAAGTTGGGCCCGGCCGCCGTGGTGTGAGCCGGCGGCTGTTCGGGCCACGACTCGCAGTCCATCATAGGCAGAGAGCTGCGCCGCCCCCGAGCCACTGGCGAGAGACGGATGTGATTGGAGAGGCGCACTGCCCGGCTGACATGGGAGTCGACCAGGCGGGCCGGGGAGGGGCGGAGAGATGGAAGGAGGGCGGACCGCCCGCTCCTGAACCGCGCGCAGCCGCACACCTATGATTTGTCGGCCCGTTATAGCTGGAGGAGCAGCTGGCGGCGACAGGGGACTCCGATCGACCCGAGCTCGCGTCGACCGGCTGACACCATCCTCTCCGCACCCCGGCGCGGAGCGGACCTCGGTGGGCGGCCAGCTCCGTGCAAAAGTGGCCACTTCATCACACTGCAACGTCACCTCAGCAGAAACGAGCAGCACGTGAGACAACACTCGGCCGCTCCTGACACCACTGTGTCCACAATAGGCGGCCACTCAAAAAGCGTCGACAGCTTTTTGTATGCTCGTTCGTGCGCCGCCCGTTTAAACACGGATTGAAAGCGCTCCAAACTGACGAAGCACGCGGCCGCAGAGTGCGACACGAGTCACTCGGCTGGACACTGCACGGTTGTTTGTGCAGACTGATCCAGCGACGCTTGACAACAGACAATTACACCGGGTCACCGGCATTCCGCGCGGCCTTTGCAGTCACGAGAGCAGCCGCCGCCAATTGTCTCAAACCGCTCTTTTATGTAACGAATTTGGGCTGGCACGCGCCCGGTGGAGTATTTCGAGCGGCCGCGTCTGTCGTCGCACGTGAGCTCGTAAAGGTGACCTGCACCGGACGAGCAGCTCTGGTAACCAGGGGCTCCCCACGGTTCACGGACCCAGACACGGCACGGGCTCCGGTGGTGTTGGCCGACCTGTTACCACGCGTGGCACGGACCACCGCGGACGCGTGCGCTCCAAAACCGCACATCATCGCAGTCGGCCGAGCTGGAGCGCCGAAAACGTCTGGCTGTGTTCACGGCACATTACAACAATGCTGAGAACCGAGGGCTTTTCTAATATCCGAGAAACATCCGTGCTCGCCGTCAGGCCACTCTGGTTCCGCCAGATTCGCCTAACGCCAGCGAACGCCAGCCCGCCCGAACGGGCGTCATTCAAGCTCCCAGACCAGCCCGGGGCATCCGTCTATACAGGGGCAGCTCTGAGACGGCCCCGGTGCGTGTAAGTCGCGCCACCCGCCGGGCGCGGCATACCTATTCAAATCGACACCGGAGCGGCCGCGGTGATCGCGCATACGTCCCGAAGGCGCCGCGGGACACCGGATTCCTGTGTCTTTACGCGCGCGCGCCTATTCCGGGGCGGAGTCGGCGACGAGTCAGGGAGTCGGTAGGCTGAGTCAGGTGTGTCGAATGACTCAAAGCAGGAGAGAGGCGAGGCGCTCCAGGGGGAAATATGGAATTATGCGAGGACTTATAGGATTCGAGGGACGGAGAAGGGATCGTGAAGCGAACTCAGGGTGAGGAGGGCTCGGTCAGAGGCCAGGTGCCACAGACACTGAGGGCAGTGGAGAAGGTCGGCACCGTTTGTTCCCATGGTACAGACGACTGGGTCCTGCTGCACCTGGTATTCACAACAGACACTAAAACGACCGATAAAAATGGTATCGTGCATCATTTCACGAGGCTTAGAACGAATTCACAGCGAGTACAGATGGTTGCTGTGCATGCCTCGAAAACATTGCGGGATGGGACGAGCCATGGGAAACGAAGACCAAACAAAGCAAAAGTCAGTGAACTATCGATGTCTAGCAGGACCAACGGATCACGAATGCACGGCCTCCAAACCGGAATGCAGCGACCACCTCAGTGCAGCGGCCGACGGCCGGCCGCACCGTGCCGAAAAATGGTCACAGAGAAAGCAGTTCCCATGAGGATAAAAATTCCGGATCAATGCTCTGTTCAAATGTCACAAGGACGTGAGCCCGATCTCCAGCCAGAGCGGCGGTATGGCGATGCTCTGAGAGGCGACAGGATCAGTGCACGGGTGATTCATCGCGTTCCGGGGCGTGCATCGCATAGCGACGCATCCAAGGGCCGCTACCCGGTATGTCTTACGACAGTTTCCCCATGACGTGTCCTGCTGATGTGATTTGGTGTAGGTGGCGGAAGGTCGCACCTCTACGGGCTTAGTCACCAACACAGCCAGTTCTCGTACAGTCTGACCTCCGTGACTTGGCCACTTTGGTGGCTATAAGAGTAAAGAACTCTACGTGTGCCTGCCGCTATGGAGCTCACTAAGCCCCCACACTCAGTACGTCATCGGAGGACCGTTCCCGTTCCCTGAGACTGGGAGCCGGGGCGGAGGCGGTCTCTCACATCACGGCTCGAATGCCGCGATCCCGGCTAAGCTGCCCTATCCTCCGCGCCGCCCGGTCTCACCGGCCGCCGAGCCGGCGCGTCCCTCGCCGCTGTGCGCTCAGCTCAGCGCCGCGGCACGCCGACAGGCACGCCCCAGATGAGTAATCCCGCTCTCCGGCCACCGGCGACCTCCCGAGGCCGTGGGAGGGCGGCCATCGCTTCCCAGAGGTGCGCACCATCTCTGGGGAAGGATCCACTGCACTGCGGGGCTACAGGGGTGCTCAGGGATTCCAGGAACATCGCGCATGTAGCGACGGGATTGAGAGCGCTTTGTGCAGTCAGTGCCAGGGAGCTCTGAGTGCATAAAGGCTGCAGGAGGAATCTGAGAACGTAACGCTGCTTCGTAATCTGTGTGTAAATCCTCGTAAGTAGAGAGTTACAATGCCCTGCGCGATTTTGAACTCGACAACCTTCAGACTTCGTCCTCCAGACGACCCCAGGAGTTCTCCAAATGAAGCTGTAAGACATCACCACTGGGACCCGCCCTACTCGCTCTGAGATGGATTTCCGGCAGTAGAGCAGGGCTGAACAGGCCGTGGGAGGAGCTGTCCGTGTCCCGGGGACCTGTCGGTGTCCGGACCGCCGACCGCGGCCAGTGCCGCCGTGATGAGGGCACGCCCGACCCGACCGCCGCCACCTGCGGTCAGGGTGGTCATTATGGGCCGGTTGGCGGTGCGTCCCACGGCGGTCACGGCGGTCAGGGGTGGTCAGGGGTGGTCGGGGGTCCCGGCGGCTGCGGTCCGCGGGGCCAAAGGGCTGCAGCCGGGCCGGGGCGGGGCTGAGGGGTGGGTCGGTTCGCAGAGACCACCAATCGTCGCTGCCCGGAGGCCTCATTACAGGAGGGAGGATACGCCACGAGATACCCGGGCGTGTGTGACCGAACTGCGGACACGGTTAGACGGGAGACAGAGAAACCATGCGAACGGACGCCGTCGAATTATCGAGAACGGCCCCAACAGTGGAGGAAAGAAAAGGGAAATACCCACGGGCTGGCGGAATGACTTCATGGTGAGTACAAAGCTGCGCGTCGAAAGGGATTATCACTTCATGCGCAGATGTTGGTGGGAATCAATTCGGTTTCATAGCAAAATAACGGTGTCTGGCGAAACCCCGGTTTTACGAGGTGTGGGTATTAATTTAATTAGAAGGTGATTACCAAGCCTGCAGATGTAGATGATTTGATTTAGGCGTGTTGAAAGTGCTCAGCTCTACCGCAGCTGTACAATGTTCCGCCCACTCGCAATTCGCCTGCACGTCACGTTTCACAACATTTCGCCGCAAACCGGACGAGACAGCGCAATTACGCAACGTGCACCGCATACGGGTCGGGCGCCACTCTCTGCTCGTAATAAAGCTGCATGTCGCCATTTGACGAGCAAACAACAGCCGCGCGACGACGCTGGCCGCCACTCGGAAGACATTTCTCACGCCCGAGGAGCGCTGTGGGACGGCTGTGGACGCCGGACGGGGTCCAGACACCCAGACACCGCCGCGTGCAGCGGTGGGTCGGGCTGCACCGCACCGCGCCGGGCCAGGGGTCAGCGGCGATTGCAGCGCCGTGACCTCGCCGGCCGGGCCCGCCCGGTAATACTCGCTGCCGGGCATCACAAACCAGCGTCGACAAGCCGAGCTAATTGCCGGCGCGCCGAAGGTCTCCTCCGGGAGGGGCGCGGCCGTCCCTGGCCGGTCGCCGGCAGGGAGCCCCTTTGAGGCGCGGTGCCCGGTTTACGGGAAGGCGGGCCGACAGAGTGGGAGCACAATGCGCGCCGGGCCCTAATGTGCGCGCCGAGAGGGCCGGCAGCGGCGGCGGCGTCGACGCCTCGTTTGAGGAACATCCCTATCGCGGCTGAGCTGTGTAAAAACTGCGCCCGGGGCCTGGACGCCGGCCGAGAGCGGGGAGAATTCCTGGCGATGACTTATTGCGGAGGGGCGCTGTTCGGCCCGCCGCCGGCGCCGGTCAGCCGCGCCGAACAAAGGAGTGGCGTGCGGCGGCCGGCCGCGGCCGGCGGCGGCGCTGCCGAGAGCGCCGGTCCTCCGCGGCTACAGCGCTGCACCTCACACGGCACTACGCTCAGCGGCATCAGGATCCAGATTTCCTCTCCAACCGTCACAGTATTTCCCAAATTTGCCTTCAAGAAGCACCCCGAACATCCGCTGCCCTCTGTGGCCAGCCCCGTCCTTCATTCCCTCATTCCACGTCCCTCCGACTTCATCCCCTCGTTCTCATCCCTCAGCCGGTTCGCTCAGACAACCTGGTAGGGTAAACCAAAACAGATCGAGCCCGATCCATGCGAAAGTTTAATGAGAGCAGCCTGGTGCATATCGGAATTATGCGATCTTACAACAGACTTCAGCAAGACACGGCCCTCGCGCTATCCACTCCGTCAGTAAGCAGAACAAGACAGTCCTGCAAGTTTTCTGAGCACGTCCGGGAAGCGGTCCGCGCGCCTGGGTGATGGATCACCGTCCGACCACATCCGAGCAGCGACGGATGGCGCGTCACTGGCGCCGCCGCTGTGGAGTGACGTCTGTCGGTCGGGACGTCAGATACCGGAGCGATGCAGGTGGAGACAGACGTCAGATACGGAGCGGGGCTCGGTGAAGACGTCAACACCGGCTGACGGACAGTTGACCGCCTGACCGCGGTCCGGGAATCACTCGGACAGCTGACCGCGGTCCGAGGGTCTCGGCCGTCCATCACGATCACTCCAGGAATCCGGTGAACGGGTTTCAGCCCGATTGAACACGCCCCGTTTCTGGATCGCTGAGCTGCGAGAATTTAAACCGCAATCGCTCGATAAAGTGGGGCCATAACACTCGAATAAAATTCCGGCTCGATAAGATACCTCTCCGCATCAGTAACGCACCAGTGAACTCACAGCGATCAGTTCAGGTGTGGCGGCCTAACCCAGAAGGTTTACATCACGCCCTGCACGTCACCGCGAGTTGGCCGGCCGGCAGTGAGGCCGTCCACAGTCCTGGCTTCATTACTGCGCACTGTGGGCGGCGGCCTCCGTCTGAAGTATGGGGTGGTCCGCGCGGCTACACCCATTACCGAGCCTTCGGCCGCCGGCCCAGCTCAGCCCAGCCTAGCCCAGCTCTGCCCCGTGCAGCTCTCCGGGACGGGCGGCGGCCGAGAGGAGAGGAGCGCTGCTGCGCTGCCCACCAGGCCGCCGTCCCAGACCACTCGAACGCCCCCCAACCGGAGGGCGTCTCTCCGCCTTTACTGCACACCTACGGCCGAACACGAGCGGCCCAGGTGATAAAAACATTCCTAATGCCTTTACGGCATGACAGCTTCAGTGCACTTCGGCGGAGCCTTTGATAGATGAAAAGGGTTAGGCCAGTACGGTAATTAGTGTTTACGATTATCGTAAACGACCTTCGCCCGTCAATCCGTTGACAGTTAGGCGGGCGGCGGACCGGACAGTTTGAACGGAATCTGCCGGGCCATGTCAGTCACCTGTCAACTGGTTCACAGAGCACAAAGGGCGGCCGGGGGAGGCCGACCGTTCCCAGCGAATTCACACCTGACCTTATCGGTCCCTGGGCCGACCCCCGACCGGCAATACAGGCCGCCCGGTGCGCCGCTCCGCTCAGTATCGTCCCATCGGCGGAGACACCGACACCGCACGCCACCAGCACGTGCCGCGCAAAAACCGGAGCAGCGGGCGACACAGCCGACCGACTGCGGCACCCAGAGAGCAGCTCCGAGCTGGGGTCAGATTTTGCGGGCGCCGGGTGGGAGCTGGCCCGGAGCTCGGCTAGCCCAGCCGCCGCGGCACCAGCGGCCGCCGTACCGACGCCGAAATTTGACGGAGGCGCTCGTAAATTGTGCCGCTCCAGCCGGCCGAGCCCGGCCGAGCCCGGACGAGGCCGCGATGAGGCCATCTTTCCAGTTAATTCCTGCCATAAAGTCAAAAGCGGCCGGCCGGATGGCTATCCTGGCCGCGGCCGAAAAGGTGGAACGATCGGCCCGCCGCGGCGGTCCCCGATACGTGTCCGGTTCGGGCGGACTGACCCAATGGTGGGCTGTCGTCCGCCGTCCGCACCCATCCATCTCTCCAGTGTCCGGGACGGACGGACAGTCCTCTGCAGCTCCGCCCCGAGACCGCTGGTCAGGGGCTGTTTGAACGCCACACATGTGTTCCCAGGACAGAACAGGCTATCGAGAGGGCATCGCACGCCAAACACGTAAAAGACAACATCGATTCCGCCGGAACGACAGGCGCGTACAGAACGCCTGAAAACGACCTGAAATCGGTCTAGATTTCCAGCGGAATCGGTGTTTTCTGGGTGTGCGCCGGACGCGTGATTAGCATATTCGGAGCGCCGGCGTACCCGCGGCTATGTGCTCGGTGTCTCTATCTCGGGATCAGAGGAGGCGCGCTCGGGTCCGGTCGGAGCGGCCAGCTGCGCACACGGCGGTCGTCTCGGACAATGTCATGCCGGCTGTCGCACCGAGCCATTGTCGGTGTGTGATGACATGATACCGCGATACAGGAGAGCGATACACCGGGCCGGTCCGCTCTGAGAAAGTCGTCCGCTCACCTTCAGAACTGGGTGACGGAGCTGGGAGACTGCATTCAGTCCCCAAGCAACTACAGCTCAACGGTTTAAAATGGAGTGCTCGTATAGTGTCTGAGGATAATGAACTCAGCCTAAGCCTCAAGTCTTTGTGCGAAAACAAGTGGAAGAACACGGATTTTCAGTTTGTTGACCTGACCTGAACAGCGCCTCAACATACGACGCAAAAAGGGCGACTGAGCACAGCCCGGACACGGAAGCTGTGCGCCGCGCCGGCACGGCCGAGCGTATACCGAGTACAGGCTGAGCAGTAAGCTGAGTACGGGCCACTGAGTGAACCGGGCCGGCACGCCACCGCCCGGAAGGGGACCGCGCTCCGCACGCCCTCCGCCAGCCCCGAACACCTGCACTTAACCAGCCGAAACTACCGCCTCAAATCCCGACAACTATGCTCAAAACACCGCCGGAATTCAGACCACTAGCCTTGCAGTCGCCACAAAACAAAATACTCGCTGCCTGAGAAACATACCTGAGCGCGCGCGTCATGTAACATTTAGTCCTGTTGACGCCCGAGTCATGCTTGGTTCCGCTGGTACGGCAATGCGGATTCAAACCTGGGTTCCTGGTCTGTCTACCCTCTAATAATGCACGCCGAGCCTCAGTCGCCCTCCCCAGCCGCCCTGTACCAACTGTGCAGTGTGCACTGTGCAGTCCCCATTATCTCAATGCGCCGGCAGCCGCGCCCGACTGACCTGTTCGGGTTTGAGGCCGCTCGGCACCCAGGTGTACTCCTCCAGCGCGCAGCCCGAGTCGTCGTCGCTCTGGCTGTGCCGCTGCGGGTCGCTGCTGCGGCCAGGGAGGATCTTGGCCAGCGGACTGGGCGCCGCCGGCACGGGCGGCAGCTCGCCCATGGCCGCCGGGCTGCACTGCGAGTGGTCCTCCCGTGGACATTTACAGTTGCGGCACACTTTCCTGTGAACACAGAGAACGGGAACGTCAGAGAGGCGCGGGCACGGAAACACGGCGACACCGGCCGCTGGACGGGGGGTTTACTACAGCACCCTGCAGCGACGCTGTAACTGGTACTGGCAATAAAACTGCATTACAATAGCGACATTACAATACCTGCCACCAGCATAAGTGAGACGTTCAGTAATAAGCGCGTGATTGCTCCCCTGAAGGTAATTTAACACCTCCGGACTCTTGCGCAACCGTTTTGAAATACGTATAGAAGCGTGGTGCTGGCGCTACTTTCTACCAGCGGGAGGCGGCCATCCGGCTGGTAATGGGGCACGAGCAGACTGGGTTTGACGGTACGTGCGCAGTCCGTCGGCGGAGCTCGGACCGGATAATGTCTGTCTGCAGTATACGGCGACGGGTTACACCAGGGGGAGGAGCAGAGCCTGCGCAGCACCGGGCGAGGGTGAGCCCGCACCTGCGTCCTACCAGCACCGGGCCGCCTCCTCCGCCGGCCAGCGCGCTCCCACACCGGGCCCAGAGAGCAGGGGAGAGAATATTTACTGCCGCCGGTAATGTATTCAGCGCGTTTTTGTTCCTCGCAGCGGTCATTGCTCCTGATTAAGCCCTTCTCTGCGCCGGGCTTCCGGAGCCGTATCCTGAGCTCGGAGCTGACGCTCAGGGCGGTCCGCCAGCTCCCCCGGTCTCCGGAGTCGTGCACAAGTCGCACTACTAGACCGAGCACCGTTTTTACCTGTGGCTACTCGCTCTGACAGGAAAATCATACGCCGGCCAGCCGGCGGCGTGCCGTTTTTGCCAGAGCACGGCGTCACGCCAGGCCGCTACCCCTCTCCCCGTCCCTCCTCCCTCCTCCAAACGACGGACGTGTCTATTGAGCGGGGGCAGCGGTAATCGGTCGAGCGGGAGAGTTTTATCGAGAGCAGTTCTTTGCGCGGGAAGTGAATGGGCTCCCCGGACCGGTAGCCAGCTCATGGGCCGGATCATGGCCCGGCCGGCGTCTCTCGGACCGCGAGACCCGCCCGGCAGACAATGGGCGCCGTCCGCGCACCGCGCCGCCTCCCCAGGCCGGTAGCGCCGCGGTTTGTCGGTACAAACGCGCCCAGCCGCCGCCAGAGGCGAGCTGATGGCCATCTCCAACAGCAGACGGCGTCAAAAAACCGGCCCCATATTGTATTCAACGTCGCCTTGTCTCTGTCTTCCAGGAACAAAAGCCTGCCATGGCGACTCGCGGCGAACAAAAGAGCGCTGTGACAATTAATGTGCTGACTGGTCCGATGCGAAGGCTCGAGCACTCGAGCCGTATCCGAATTCACCGCATCTGCGCCAGTTTCGTCACCGCCGCTAAGAGCGCGACTGCGGGAGCCGCCCGGCGCTTGGTCGGCCAAGCGTTTTATTAATTGGCCGTGTCTCCTAAACGACGCGCCGTTAAATGAGGTGTGGATAAACGAGGCATGTGGCGACGGACGGTGATGGAAGAGCCGACCAACCAGACCAGCTAGCCAGCCAACCGACCGAAGACCAGCCGCAGCCAACGGGCCGACCGTGCCACCGAAGACCAGACGCAACCGAGGCTACCAGCCGATATCCGACCAGCCGGCGCCAGCCAGCCCACGCCGACCAGGACCATCCGTTCGACCAACGCGACGTGCACTATCCATCGGGACCCACTGGAACGCGATCGGTCTCGCAGATTGGTTTAGTTGGGCATCCTCGAACACTCGCAGACAGACCATCACTCTGGGATCGGAATCGGCAACAAATGACCACCAACAGAGGGAATAACTGGGAGGGAGCACATCGATCGAGTGGGCTCCAGAGCGCCCTTCTCCGTCTCGAGGAGGAAGGACACGAAGTCGGTGGCGGCCACAGTCGGGACAGGAGCGATGGGAGCGGGCTCACAATGTCCGGGCAGGCGACAGCCACCGCTACTGAGCGGATATGGGTGGAGCGGTGAGGGAGGGGACGGGCAATGGCAGGGGAGATGTCACACGACCGGGGCACGACCTCACCACCGTGGTCGGACACCATAATGACCGGTGAGCGGCTGAAAAATGACAGACAGTGTCTGACGAATGGCGGACAAACGGCCGTCAAATGGCAGCCGCCGAGGGTGGCGAACGACATGAGGAAGGGACGACAATTTTCGAGCTGGGTGGTTGTCGGTTGCGCGAGTCAGCATCATTCTCCGCACTCCACTTCACACTGACTTATATATGTGAGGTCTTGGCGCCCCGTGAACCAGGCAATCGATCAGTGGGATTCAGACATCCCTCATCGAGGCAAAAACAAAATGACAATGTAGTGACTTATTGACACGGACGGAACACCAATAGCAAACGATATTAATCGCATATGTTTTGTATCATCGATCCACTCAATGTCAGGACGGATGAAAGATATCATCGGAAACACATTATATGTCGTATGACTTCCTTTCACTGAGGGAGTTAAAAACTCATGCTACGACGGCAAGTCATCGCTTTTTTTTCTTCCCACCACAACCCACCACCTCCCGACAATGGCGCATGGTTCGAAGTGTTCTGCGCCGATAATTTTCGGTCGGTCCGCATTTCACCCTCAAGGGCAGCGGCCGCTCCTGATTTGGGAGTGAAGCCATTAATAGTTGTCTAATGATGCCCTGCTGGCAGTGAAGGGTTGGCCGGAGCTCGGAGGGCAGGGACGGGTATGCCGTCCGTCTGTCGGAGGGTGCCTCGGCAAGGAACTCACTGAATACTGCGGACTGGTTGAGGTTTCTGTCCACTTGCACTGGTGAAAGTCTGGTAGCGTTTGGGATGGATTGTGACATTCATAAGACGAGAAATCAAGCATATTATTTAACTTCCCAAAAGTCAGAACACTTGAATTTTCTCAACATCTAATCGGTTCAGCGTCCTTTGTCTGCGCCACTCTGGCCGATAAGAAAACACCCGCCGTGTCGAAAGGCGGCGTCCGATCAAAACAGCGGCCGGCAGACCGTCAGCAATCAGGACGGGACAGGGCAGCGCGCGTGCTGCCCGGGGGCACTGCCGCGGCCCGCTGGACCACCCGCGACGGTCCGTCGCCGCCCCAGGGACAGCCGCCGCCGCCTCTGGAGTCCCGCACCCGGCCGGTGAGAGGGTTGGAGCGGGTCACAGCCCCGACAGGTGGGAGGGCTTCGAGAAACGACCCGCGGAGAAAAGTACAGGCTGCGCCCGAGCTCCATTTCCAATTCTAAGAGGGTGACTGAACAAGGATAGAAACTGGACGCGCTGGTGGAGGAGCACGTTTTTTCCTCGGCGCTGAATCGGATTTATACCGGTTCAGTGTGCGTGAATTGGCCAGTGTAATCGCCACTCACCAGGGGTCATTGAGGAAAGGACCCGAGGCCACGCAGCGAAAAGTGCTCCAGAAAACAATGACACTCAAGGACAACACAGACCAGCGTTGGAGCTCGTGCGCTCGCCGACTCAGCAAAAGGACCGTTCGGCGAGGTCAGGCGGATCAGAGGGGTCCGTCGGGTCGTGGGCCCGGTCAGCATTGCCTCACAGGTCGGCCAGCGGGCCCACGGCTGGACGGGAGTCCCACGGGCCCGGCCGATGGCACCCCCGCGGCGGGTCAATCATACGCCCCCGTGCGCCGGCCGCCGCCGGTCCAGCCATGAATTTTTCGACTGTGTGAGATGATGAATGGTTCCAATGAAGTGATATCACGGGAGTGGATCGGAGTTTGCCGCTGACCGGCGTGGGACGCGCGGCGCACACGCGGCGGGGCGCGGAGGAGAAAGTCCCCGCCCGGCACGCGCACACCTGACACGGGGAGGAGGGAGGCGGACGGAACACAGGGTGTGACTTAACATGACACCGCGACAGCCCATGGTCCGACTTAACCAGAGGCACAACACCAGTACAACATCATACAGGCCGCCACACGACCCGAGCTGGCCGGGTCGACCTACTCTGCAGTTTCAGCCTTACATACACGCTCCCGACCGGACCGCGATCGAGCCGTTCGGTTAGTGACACGGCTGGGCGGGTATTGAACCGCACACCGCACGCCAGAGGTTTCGAGTTACGCGACATCGCATCTCTGAGGTATCCTGTGACTTCGATTCCCGATCGCCGCCCCGATAGACGCGGTGATGAACGCGGAGCTCCGAGGAGCGTCCGTGACGCATTCAATCGGGGGCCGGCGCGCCAGGGACACCGCCACGGCGGCCGACGCTCCGCACGCCAATTGGAATTCAGTGTGTGCGTTCGGTGTTCGGTACTAATATCACGCCGCCGCGACGCCTGTCCACATATGGTATGTTTCATTTCGCATAGGGCGCCCCGGAGTTCGGGCCATTTCCATACAGACGTTGGACGTGATTTATTTTCGAGAAACGGCGGCGCCGTGCCGAACGGTATGGCTACGTGTTTGGAAACGAACAATGCTTTTCAGTCTCCTGACATGAAAAAACGAGCGCAGCTCAGTTAACGATTAGTTTTGCCGTTTACAAATGAATTTAGAAGTTGGAGTTTTTCAGGTCACCAGCACACAACATACAAAGGCGTTTGTTTATGCATTGTAGATTGAGCGAAGAAGTGTTTCTTTGGTACCTACCACAAATACAAACAAAAGTCGTAATAAAATGTCAAAGCCGTATATCAAAGATCAGATAAGGATGCCTATTAGGTAAAATTAAATGAACATGATTTTTGGTGGCTAAAATATTTGTATTACGTGCGCTTATGAACAGCATGAGCATCTCTGACATAGTAAGTGGACACTGGACAATATATATGCATGCCATTTTTGGCACAAACGTGAACATTGGCGCCTAGCATCGGCCTGCAGTTACAATCACATGAGGCTTCTGTCCAGCCATAAACAGGGTAGACCTTAAACGAGTCACAGCGTGTGGCAGCACATACCGTAAAATTCCCACTACAAGACGGATAATGGTCTCCTCACAGTCTGACAACGTGCAAAACCTTTGTGAATGCCAAATTCTTTGGTAGACCAGCACTAAAAAA